GCCTCGGAACTAGCTGGTTCTCAAGATGCTCGTAAATGCATCAGTTTAATTACAGCTGAAGGGGCTGTCATTGGAAGGTACAGTACATGTACAGTATAGTCTCTCTTAATGGACACTCTCTATAGCGTACACCTCCATTTAACGGACAGCACCTAGTGTACCAATTACATTCCTTACTGTATAAAATAACCTCCACATAAAGGACACCTCTGTATAACAGAGACACAGTGTCCATTATATAGAGGCTAGTCTGTATTACATTAATTTCTCTGTCATTTCTGTCGTCATAAATTTTTCAAATTCATGGCCAGTGTGTCTATTTGTCTGTTAGTGCGTGGGCGGTTGCTCTTTGTGTCCTAATTATTTTCTAATAGTCACTGAGTGTATTCCCACGGGATCATCTCCCAATCATCATCAGTGAGACATTTCATCCATTCCACACAAACAAGTTTACCTGCTGTTGCTCTCTCTCTCTTCTCTTTCTCGTTTTATCCTTTTTTGGATGTCCTACACTATTCAATATGTTCTTCATTTTTGAAAAGATTCACAGACCTTTTATCTTTTCTTTGATGTCTGCCGCGTTCCCTTGGCAATATGTATACATGTAAACATACATGTTTATTGTTTATTGATTAGTTAATATACAAAATGACAAACACTCATTTTTGTGTTATTGTTTTTTTGGAAAAAAACCGTGGGCTATAGCCTTGGGTATTTTTCAGATTTTTGGCATCTTCTTAAAATGGCTGTAACTCAAAAAATTCAAGTCGGAATCAGCTCAAACTTTCTACACAGCATAAGGGCATCAATATGTATCAGAAAATGTAATAAAAATTGGGGGTGATTTTGGAGCCATTTTTTGGAAAAAACCATGGGCTATAGCCTTGGGTATTTTTCAGATTTTTGGCATTTTTTTAAACTGGCCGTAACTTGAAAAATTGAAGTCGGAATCAGCTCAAACTTTCTACACAGCATAAGGACATCAATATGTATCAGAAAATGTAATAAAAATTGGGGGTGATTTGGAGCCATTTTTTGGAAAAACCATGGGCTATATATAGCCTTGGGTATTTTTCAGATTTTTGGCGTCTTTTTAAAATGGCCATAACTCAAAAAATTGAAGTTGGAATCTGCTCAAACTTTCTACACAGCATAAGGACATCAATATGTATCAGAAAATGTAATAAAAATTTGGGGTAATTTCAGAGCCATTTTTTGGAAAAAAAACCATGGGCTATATATAGCCTTGGGTATTTTTCAGATTTTTGGCATCTTTTTAAAATGGCCATAACTCAAAAAATTGAAGTTGGAATCTGCTCAAACTTTCTACACAGCATAAGGACATCAATATGTATCAGAAAATGTAATAAAAATTAGTGGTGATTTCGGAGCCATTTTTTGGAAAAAACCATGGGCTATAGCCTTGGGTATTTTTCAGATTTTTGGCATCTTTTTTAAATGGCCATAACTCAAAAAATTGAAGTCGGAATCAGCTCAAACTTTCTACACAGCATAAGGACATCAATATGTATCAGAAAATGTAATAAAAATTAGTGGTGATTTCGGAGCCATTTTTTGAAAAAACCCAAGGCTTATAGTACAGTATGCTTGTCTACTGTACTTGTAAGACTTCACTAAGTTGAAGGTGCTATAGTACATGTAGTGATGTATCTCTTTCTGTCCCTCCCTCAGTTGAAGACTCTCACTAAACTGCTGACTAGTCAAGTTCCTCTAGATGAAGCTCATTCTCTCCTTGAGCCACTTACTAGAAACAAATCAACAGTACATGATCAGTGACACCTGTGTCTAATGTACCCTCCCTATAGGCATCAGTCGTCAAACAGGTTTTACAGGATTTCAAACTACTTGAAAGACAGCTGGAAAAACTACAAGTTCTAAAGAAAGTAATTAATTAATTATTATTTATTTATTTATTTATTTATTTATTTATTTATTTTTCTCTTCAGTTAAAGGTCTTGTTTTCTCCTGGACTGGTTCTAAACATGGCTTATTTTGACGGGTTAATATTCTCGTTCTGTTCCCTTGAAGAGTCTAAGAAAAGCCGTAAAGGTTCTTCCCAGCTGGTGCTAGCGAGAGGAGGCCAGTACAATAAACTATTAGAGAGTCTCAGGGAGAAGAGACAAGTATTGTCTGCTCCATATTCCTCTCCGTCCTCTCTCCCTCCCTTACCCTCCCTCTCTGGGGTATCCTTTCATGAGGAGGTCCTAGTGAAGGTTCTCTGTAAGACTTACGTGGATACTGGACAGGTAATTCTTTTATTATTATTATCAGGGCTCCTGTTATTATTAATTAATTAATTAAAGTGGGCTGTACCTTTAAATTTTATCGATCTCTTCTCTTCCCACCCACACACTTAATTAACAGAGCCCCCTGTCTCATCCTGA